CGATGTGAATTCCTCTAGAGTCTGTCAGCGCTCCTGCGACCGTACTCGGTTTTCCCGCCGTTAGGATGCTGACAGAGAAAGAGAGAGGGAGGGAGAGGGGAGGGAGAGAGCGAGGAGAAGAAGAGGGGCGGAGAGAGAGAGAGGCGAGGGAGAAAGGGAGAGATGGGAGAGAGGGAGAGATGCGGAGGAGAGAGAGGATAGAGAAAGTTAGGTCTACCGTACAGTACGTTCTTTTCCGCCGCTGTTCCTCGTTACTGACAGCTGGCACACAGCCTCCGTCAGTTCTCACCGAAAGCTTGTGTGAATGGACAGAACAGGAGAGAGTGAAAGGGGAGCGAAGGAGAAATAGATGGAGAGAGACCGAAGAGCAGGAAGCAAGAGTGAGAGAGGAGAGGAGAGAGAGAGAGAGTGAGAGAGAGAGAGAGTGAGAGTGAGAGAGAGAGAGAGAGAGGAAGAGAGCGAGAGAGAGCGAGCGACGAGAGATGAGAGAGAGAATGAGAGAGAGAGAAGAGAGAGAGAGAGAGCAGAAGAGGGAGAAGAGAGAGCGTGAAAGCAGAAGTTGAGCGTGAAGATCGAGAGGTGGCGGCTATCCAGCGAGAAGACAGTACGCATGCTTAACGGGCAAAAATTCGATAAGTTTTTAACGACTTTCTAACTACAGTCCTACGCGATCTGCCGTGTCGCGACTGTCCTCGTATCTAGAGAAGCTGGGTCTTTCCTCCTTCTGTCCTCTCGGGCCCGTACGGCACACAAGTATATGCCCGTCAAGTGACAGAGTCGAACCTATAAGTCACACCCAGTGTTCACTCATGGCAGTATCACTGTCTTTCTGGCAGCTGTCTTTCTGGTGCACCGGTACACGGACGTCAGATATTCGTTAACTGTAAATAAAATGCTGGTGTCCTCCCTGCTAATTCCTGCCACCTTTACACGTAGCAGCGTATATATCCGTCAGTCGAGAAACGAATATAAGACTGCCGTGGCGTCTCGACTGTTTTCTGCTGCGGCTACTCTAATAGACGCTACCCTGCTCACTCAGTATCCCGTTATACTGTCGAGATTGAACACCCTCCAGAACTGTGTCCTCCGCTATTACAACGCACAAAAAACGGTGAGTGTACGACTAACACACCAGCTAGCGAAAGCTGTGTGTGAGAGATCGCAGCATATACCGACCGCGCGCGAGCAGTGAACCACTACCTACTCGAAACAAAACCACACCTCGTTACTGATTGGCACCACAAGCTGCGCCAATCCACCAATGCACCCGCCTGAGCGAGTCGATAACGTAAACACCCACAAACCCCACCACAGCCCACACACCCCAACCCGGCACGCACGCGCCACACGGCAACCAGCTCGTCACTCACAGACGCCACGCGCACGAACGAAGAAATAGAAGAAAGAGCACCGCCCAGAAACAGAGAGAACGAGAGTATATAGCAAAAGCATTAAATATATCCATACTATATACTATATATATACGAGAGCAGAGAGAGACGAGACCGAGATATATAGATATATAAGAGAGCGTGGCAAGAGAGAGAGAGAGATGAGAGAGAGAGAAAGACGAAGACAGAAAGAGATCATGAGAAAGGAGAAAGAGAGCGAGAGAGAGCAGAGAGAGAGAGAGACGAGAGACGAGAGAGAGGAGAGAGAATGGCCGACTCGCGACACTTTCCGCATGCCTTCAGGTGCCAATTCAAAACAATCACCACCAGCCGAAGCCAGGCCATATCCCTCACTCTACTTATAGTAGCTTCGGTCTTATAGTACTCTTACACTAACTCATGGCTTGGCCATGAATTTAGTAGACATACTTTGGCCCCTCAGCCTTGGGTCAGGAATGTAACGTGGGACCCAGGCGTGCCGGAGTAACAATGTGACCGCGTGGGCGCGTACCCGACATTGCAAAGAAAGAGCTCTCTGTCTCGCGTTTAAACTCGGTTACCAATCGTAACTCTGTTGATATTTTATGTGTGGATTGTTAAAGTCGATTGATCAGCGACGGGGTTATCACAGATGTTGTGCGACAAAGTGTCTGTAAATGTTTGAGCTTCGGTATCAACACCGCAAAGGCGCAATATCAACACGCGCATCGAGCGAACGCAAATCACCTGAGGCAAGCGTGCGTGCAAGCCCGAGCATACAAATATTATTAATTATACAGACACCAGCAACAGCACAAGGGCGCAAAGCAGGCAGCAGGGAGACAGAGAGGCAGCAGAGCAAGGCAGGCAGGCAAAAGAGTCCAGGTTGGCAAGCAAGCAACAACAGACAAACAATCCGACGAAGGCAGCGCGGCGCCCTTCATTTCGTCTTCGTCTTCACATCATCATCATCATCATCGTCATCATCTTCGTTTCTATTTCTCATTCGTCCTTGCTTTCCCCTTTCTTCTTCCCTCGTTTCCCTTCGTTGTTCTTTCATCTATTTTTTACACGCAGCGTGAATGATCATAACGCTGCTGATGGTTGGAAGATTGCCAACACTCTCCCTCCCTTAGCTGTCACCTCCCCGAACAAGGCAATTCTGTCATTATGCGTAACCACCAACAAGCGATGGAGATAGAACGGCCGAGATAAAGCGATAGAGATAGAAGCGTGAGATAGAAGTGGACGAGATAACGCGATTGAGATAGAGCGAGCGATTGAAGCTGGATCTGGGTAGATTGAAAACGAGGTGGGCTAGATCTGGGTAGATAGAACCAAAGCGCGTATTGAGAATTCTTATAGCGCTCTTGCTAAGAACGAGTGAGATAGAGTCGAGCGAACAGCGCGAGGGAGGCGCGCAGTGAAATAGCGGGCGAGATACGATTGTGGTTGAGCAGCAACGAGATAGACGGTTGAGAAATTAGAGCAGGAGATTGAAGTGGAGATAGGCCTGACGGAATAGAGGCAACAGAGATCCGATCAGGAAGATAGAGCATCAGAATAGATCGTTAAAGGTAGAGCTTAGAGAAGTGATCTAACAGATCAAATGCGACAGAGACAAGAGGCTAGCGTGTGCCTCTAGCTGTTTGGGCGAGCTGTTTCGTTAACGCATTGTAGAGGGTTCGGGTTACAACGCCGTGATGCGTGGATGCTAGTGACATTAGTTTGCGGTGGTTTGTGAGTGGTAGTTAGGTCCCGCACTATGGGAGATGATTGTCCTTTGTGTGTGTGTGTGTGTGTGTGTGTGTGTGTGGTTGTGTGTGTGTGTGTGTGTGTGTGTGTGTGTGTGTGTGCCTGTGCGTGCGTGTGCGTGCGTTGTGTGTGTGTGCTGTGTGTGTGTCGTGTGTTTGTGTGCGTATGTGCCGCACAAGGCGCGTGGTGAAGGGAGAAGGTTAGGTTTGTTGGTGGGTGGGTGGTCATTTGTGAGTAAGTGAAGGCGACAAGGAAATGGCGTTTATTCTGGGTGATACGTGAGTGGATGGATCGCTGAGGTAGGTAGGTGCGTGGATAGGGCTTATGGTTGCCCATCTCGATTGGCGGGCTAGGGATGGATGAGTGTTTGTCGTCTCTGTTTTGTTTCCGTGAAGGGAGTGCGAGAGAGAGAGAAGAGAGAGAGAGAGGGTGGAGGGAGGGAGGGAGAGAGGGAGGGAGGGAGAATATAGGGAGAGAGAGGAGAGAGAAGGGGAGGGCGGGAGGTGAAAGGGGAGAGATAGAGCAGACAGCACGCACGCAGCCAGCACACGCAACGCACGCACCACAGCACACACACACACACACACCAGAGAGACAGAGACTGTAAGCTGAGAGCTGCGTTAGAAAATCGGAGCTGGAGCATTACAATTGTAAATGAAAGTGTCAATGACACTGTAGCTCACGCAGCAAAAAAGGACACAAATGAGTGTAGTGAGAAAAGTCAGTTTTAATTGAGAACCATGCGACGTACATTATAAGAAACGAAGAGCATATATGGGAAGAACTCCCATTATATACTCTTGATTAATTCATATGTGTAATTTTTAATGTGAAAATAACTAAATAATATTATATATAAATTATAAATAATTATAAACCAAAGAATCACAATTCTGTGACGGTAGAATACGCTATACCCGCTTTGATGTTTCTTAGCATAAATTCACTATATCATAAATAATAATAATATTTTAATAATAGTATAAATCAATAAATATGTTCATAAGCAGGGAATTTTGCATTAAAGAATTGTCAATGAATCTTGTAAACAACGAACACAGACGAAGTGTGACACTACAGACTGTTTTTATCTGCGTGTCTATAAATATGCTTAATAATTGCCAAAACCCTACCTAATTTGCATATTTTTTTTAAATATTACACCCGCTAGCCCTTATTCATTCACCTACCAATGAGCAAAATCCGTTGAACCTGAACTGACTAATGGCAATTACCATTTTTGCCAAAAAATTGCCGTGGCTCGAAAGTACGTCGACTGGCGTGCTCCAAAATAGGACGTTTAATATGGGAGCATAGCAGTAACAATTATACCCAATTTCAAACATGTGGGTCAAACGGTTCCTGGGTTATCGTTGCCCGTAGCCAAATGTTGAAGGACGGACGGACGGACGGACGCACGACGGAAGACGACCCATGGCAATAGCTCAGCTTGACGATGTCGAAGTGAGCTAAAAATACAAGAAAGTCATTCGAATATTCTTCCAAACGATTCCACGCAGACTGCCCGGCGTAATCAACGAACATAAATTCTCTTTTGTGTCCGAGATGAAGATAAAAGTGGTTCACGTTTCACGGGAGCAGAATCGAATATGCACGCATGACTACTCCCGCTTACTATTTTTCACAAAGATAAACGCATTTCTCATATTACATGGACGTTGATGCAGATGCGCGCATGAAAATTGCCAATTTTTTTAAAAGGTTATCGTTGGCCTTTGCTCGTACGAAGACAATATTAATTAACCAGACACCACCCGTAGCACAGAGAGCATTGTTACGGCAGCAGCAGTAAAAGAGATTGTGGCTTATTTACACTAATTAATTATAACAAATAATACCAACAACAATAGTAACTATGATGATAGTATTCGCTGATTTCATCAACAATAATTCAGTTTATTCCTTGCGAAAAATGAGATTCATCTGCTACTCAATGCAGCAAATGAACACGTGTACAAATAAAAAAAACTATACTCATCTACCGAATGACAAGAAAATGATTGAATACATATCAATTGTGTGTACGTGTGTTAGGGCGGACGAGGGTCACCTCTAAAGTAAGTTACCTAACACGTAGGTTTATATCAACCAGATGCACCTACCCGGACCAGAACCTTTTTCACAATAGCAGTTTGATATGTTATCACCATTATCTCTGAAGCTAGAAATGGCTTCATCGAAGGTGAGGATGCTGGCAAGAAACAAACGACGAACGCTGAGTGATGTACCATACCCGCATAAGCACGCCCCGCACTCGTGCGTCGCTGCCGCGTAAACATCGGTAAACACGCTGCGCACGCGATGAAATACAGAAAAGCTCACACCTCGTACCTCGACCCTCCCCCCTGAATCCCCCTCCTTCTGACAGCTTCTACCCACTCCTCTCCTCCTCCTCATATGGCTTCTCCTCTTGCCGGCCTCTCCTTACACTGGCTTCCTCAGCTCTCCGACAGCTTCTGGTATGCGAGTATGAGCCGAAAAAAGCGTCGGCAACGGTCATCGCACGCTGTTGGCTGCTTCCCTAGCTCACTGACAGACAGTGGCGAGACTCGCTGTAGTAAAAAGGCCATGGTTAATTTGGTTCGCCAAACTAAACTGCATACTAAAACGCCCACTAAAATGTCGCGCACATGTTGTTAAAACTCTGTTCGTCATCTAATCCCATTTTTCTACATAAAGCAGCGATTAAATGCCTGCTGGTTCTGCAGTTTAATTGCGTAGCGAAACGCTGGCTGTAGTTCAAGCGGCATGTTCTCGCAGCAAAATGCATAGATATACCTACTGTGAGCTCGTCCATGTTGTAAAAATTCACTACAACTCATTTGTATCGCTACTTTCATAACATTTCTCCATCAAAGCTAAACAGTCTTACGAAACTAGCACGTTCGAATGTTTACAGTGTTTACACATCCGGGACACAGCCGAGCCGATCACAGTTTTCATTAACAGTTATTTTCTATGATAAAAAAAGTTATAATTTAGTATTCGATGTTTGCTCAGTACAAAATTGTTAAATTTGTTTAAATCCCATGTTATCTACATTACTTATGCAATCAGCAAACAAATATAGTGTTTTCTTTCAAGGAACAATTTGCGCTAGCGTATGCGTACTGTTAATGTTCTCAGTAACATCGCTCTATGTGTATCTCTACGCTGAAACCGCGTCCGGCCGAGTTTCAAAATAGTCAACTTTGGAGCACATTTCTGGCTCAATGAGAACATTTCGTAATGTTTTCATACTGCAAGTATGCTCACAGTCAATGTATGTAGGCTTTTTGTTGCGAGGTTTATCCACTTTAATTAAGGTGTTGAACAACAGTAGAGGGCGTCCATAGGCGGCAGGCCTGAATAAGCATCGAACAGAAATTAATTAAAAATACTCACACTGTTACTGCACTTACAAAACATACACTTTATTCATGTTAAATAACTACAGATTCATGCTCTATGCTCCGCTCGAAACTTTTGCCAGCTCTATGACGCGCATTTCTGCAAATATCTCTGAACACATTTCATACACAATAGCCTCCAACGGGTCGCTCTGACTACGCCGCTTGACGTAATCTC